GAGATTTCTCAAATTTACATTAGCTTCCCTACGCTCCCGTAAGTAAGGTTTTAAGTAATAATGCATGCGCACTTTTAGTGCGCATGCGTCAGTTCGGGTGAAATGCGTATGCACCAGTGAAAAAAATATCAAACTTACGTCACGAAAAATGAGAGGTTTTGCAAAACTCCGTAAGTTAGAATCGTTAAGATAGAGGAATATTAATTAACTGTGACCACAAAATCAAAACAAACATTTTCAATGGACGCAGACGATCTCTACAAAGCTGTGGCATACGACTCAAGATGACCTGCATGTACATAAAACTTTGCTCCACGCAAAACTGTGTGCAGAAAAATTTGGTAAATTTTGATAAATACAGTGATAAAGAATGAAGCTTATTATTTAGATTTGTGACCGAAGAACGAAGAAATTTAGTTTATGCATGTGGTCCACAAATAACCATATCTTACAGCAGTTTGCTTTAAACTACACAGGTAAGTTAGTAACAATATAACACGATTCATTTCTAAATTTCATCAATACATTTCGTCACATTCACATTCCATGTCCATGTTTTTAGTTTGATGGTCAGCTTAAATAGAAAACAACATTTAACATCGATAGACAGCGTGTTTGCATCTTTGTCTTAGCAGCGTTAATTACACCAACATAACTTAAAGACACGCAGCATCTAAAATTAACGTTAGCATGCTCAGTTGCTTCAAATCTTATGTACAGGAGTGTACGGAAGCTAATGTGAAAGTACGAAATCTCCCTAATATCTTCAAGATCTCAGTTTAATGTAAAGATAAACATCTGCTGATTTTAAGTTCTTTAAAGAACTGAAAACTTTGGCCTGAATGTGCATAAAAACTATTTCAGACCCATATGACATCACTGCAACGCAGATAAGCTGATGTCTTCTAAAGAAGAGGTGTGATTTCTTATCAATATTGTGTAGAGGTAAAAGCGTCCAGTCCAGTTAATGGATTCAAGATTTTGGCATAAAAATAAAGATAGGTCTCTGTTTAATTCAAGCTCTTCGTAGGGCTGGAAATTTCGGCTTGCAGACGCATGAAAACAAATTCATGCCCATGTGATATCGATAAGACGGGTAAACTAATGCCCTCATGTGAAGAGTGATGGTTTCTTATTAGTTTGGTGTAGAGACCAAAGCTCACAAATCAGTAAAGAACTTAAAGACCAAGACCAAATATTGATATGGGCCTTAAAAATTTATTATGAGCTCCTTGCAAGGCTGGAAAAACTGGTCTTCAGTTGCATGAAAATAACTTCACGCCAATGTGATACCTATAAGACGGATAAAATAGTGTCCAAGTTGAAAAAAGGTGGTTTCTTTTTTGTCTGGTGTTGGGGTTAAGACCCCCAATCCAATGAGGTGGTTATACACTAATGTCCTTGACGAACTTAAAGACAAACTACTGCTGAGTCAGCCTATAAATGTTGATTTTAAAATGACCATAAAAAATAATTAAAAGTAAATGATTTTTAATCTAAATATGATAATAACTAAATTAAATCTGTGTGATGCCATAACTAAAATTTCAGTATACTGAAGCTAGACAGCAATTTTAGGCTCGTATGACATCGCTGTGAGATGTGCGAACTAGTGTCATAATGACGACAAAGAATGCCTTCTCATTGGTATCTGGTATTGAGAAACAAACTTACAGACTTATAAGGAGCTTTAAGATTCTTTAGGGCAGTGTTTCCCAAAGTGTGGTACGCGTACCTTCAGGGGTACGGGAACAGTTTATCGGGGTACGCTTTCTTACGCGAAATATCTCGTAACTTATTTAAAAACAAAGCAAGCAATGAAAATTTACTATTACGTACTTTTCTATTGGCTATTTTTTTAAAGAGTTAACAGTTAATATTACGTGGTGTCAACAGCCAGTTGCGATTTGTAACTTTTGTGCATTTTTTTTTCATCACAGCGGCTGTTATCACAGCAAAAACAATATCATCCTTCTCACTGATGCAATAAAAACTTATTAACAAAACTTAGTACCAAAGAAGAAAAATAAACATATTTTTAAAAAAATACATTCATTTTTTTTCTAGTGGTACACAGCGTTACGAAAATTTTAGAAAGGGTACACAAAAGGCATAACTTTGGGAAACACTGCTTTAGGGTGACAAATTTTTTTGAAAAGAATATTTCAAAGTTTCCTTTAACCACATTTGATTGGGTCGTTTTAGCATTTAAATTAAAAAGTAACCATGTATGTACAACATCATTCATTAATAATTTTATTTTATTCATCATTATTGTCTTTATGGTTGCATGGAGATTGAAAATTATGTCTGTAGTCGTATCAATTTGTTAAACAGCTAGAAGTCTCTCTATACTTAATAGGATTAACAGTAGTATATAAGTATATTAAATCCTGCTTCAAATTCTTCAAATTTCTTTAATATTTTCAAGCCATTCTGTATAAATTTAAAAACGCAATAAAGGATATGAAATGGCGTGTTTAATAGAAGCAAAAGTAATCATTCGAGAGGATTTTTGTACAAAACTACTGAGGATAGAATTCTGTGTACAGTTTTGGAGGTAACTTCGTAGCGACTGCAGATCTAATTTGTATTTACATAGATTGAGAAGTGAGTCCTCCAAAAGTAGAATTTTATTTTCTTTCCTAGCTGTAGGATTATTCAAGAAGTAATTTGAGTGCAGGGTTACCAGAATATTCATATTATCTCTAACGAAGCACATTTTATTCAACGATGTATTTCAATTATAAATCCTCATTTAACTAGTTCGTTAAGTTTTCTTTTGGCAAGTATTGAAACCACGCATTTTTTACATATGTATGAAAATAGCATTTCCCTTTGTTTGTGTTCATTCAAAAAAAAAAAAAAAAACTCTTAATGTTTTTAATAATTTTTCGATCCTTCTGAATTTTGAAATTTATAAAATTGTCCGATATCAGGTAAACATCAAGACTATTATAAATTAATAGAATGCTGCTGAATTTTGAGATTGTTCTTATTATTTCTCAATTAATAATTTATTAATATTCGTTTCTTACTGACTTTGAAAAAATAATCTATAAATATGTCTTGCATGGGACTTGAGTTCATGCCAAACTTACGTTAAATTGTTAATTTTAATAATTTCAAATGAAGCATTTTCTAGACGTCAGCCAGAAAAACACGCTTGTGTTTAAGTATTCATCAGATTTAGGTGAATAAATTCCAGGAAACTAAAGCCGAAAGGTATATTTGATGGGGTAAACATTTCAATTGCTTCATAAATTGAAAAGGTGGAAAAGTTAACATTCAAAAGAGCTCCCATTCACAAGATTCACCAGACGTGTTTTTTTTTTTTCATTTAAATGTGGCGCGTCTTGAGGTTGGGCTCCTATTTTTGATCGCTCTGAACAAGTAGATTTTCCCATCTTCTTAATGTGAGTTATTTTCCTCTAAAAATCCTCTACGAAGGCTAGTTTATCCCAATGCTTGATCTAGGAGTTTCCTTGTCTTCTGGTATGAGTTCAGAACTACAAGGTTACGGATTTGAGCAGTAAACTCAGAATTGGGTCGGTTGTTCAACGCTGGTTATGAAATAAAACTTATGAAGCAAAGGAAATGTCAACATTATCAGGTATATTCATCAAATTGTTAATAAAAGGCATCAACAAGGATTCCAATGTGAGGACAATTTATTTAAATGATTTATTGAATATTCTACACCCTTTAAATAATCAATAATGCATAATGATTATCTTAGATGTGCATTTTTGAAAATATGAACATTCTGAAACCAATGAAATCTTCATTCACTTTTAAATACAGGCTAGATGATTCTAAGCTATATTATGGAAGCCAGGTGTGATAATTGGTTTAAGAAGAAAGATTTATGATATAACTTTTCATAGTTTTGCGATTATAGAAGATCTACGTCATAGGCAAGCTATAGATAATTATGTTACAATAAATTGCAAGCTTGCAAATGCAAAGTCTGTTCAAAATGTTCAATTAAATTCTCATTATTGACGAAACCCGTAACCGTTAATTTCACCATTTATGCATTCAAACCACTCTATAGTTTTTATCTAATTGCATTTAGTACGATTATTGTAATTTTTACTATCTAAAACAATATTATAAAATTAAACATTTTATTAGGAAAAATGTTTTGTCATTTCTCATTATTAAATATGGAAAGAGGGCAAACTATTTTTTTTTCTCCTTGAGGAATGGGAAAAATAGTAAGTTACTAAATTTACTATTATTGATAATTTCTTTCTCTTTAATAAAAGAACGTACATTTTTTTTCGGATTAATAAAAATGAAAATAAAATTAATATCTATTATCAATAAATTGAGGAAGAATACAAATTATTTAATTTGTCATTAATGTAAATAACGTAAATTATTTATTTCAAATATTTACTATTGTAATAAAAAGAATGAAAATCTCTTCCGATTTTTTTTATTGTTATTTAATTTTTCTCTCTTTAATGAAAGAAATGCACATTGTTTTATTTCGCATTAATGAAGTTGAAAAGAAAAAAATATTTACCATCAACAAATTGAGGAAGATTGCAAATGATTTAATTTATCATTAATGTAAATACTGTAAATTATTTATTTCAAATATTTACTATTGTAATAAAAATAATGAAAATCTCTTCCGATTTTTTTTATTGCTATTTAATTTTTTTCTCTTTAATGAAAGAAATGCACGTTGTTTTATTTCGCATTAATGAAGTTGAAAAGAAATTTTTTTTTATTATTAATAAATTGAGGAAGAATGCAAATTATTTAATTTGTCAGTAATGTAAATAATAAAAATTATTTATTTTAAATAATTGCCATTGTAATAAAAAAAAATTAAAATCTTTTTCCATTCTTATTATTGTTATCTTAATTATAAATTAGACTAGAAAGAATTTGAATAAGAACTATTATTCTTTCCTTTAAAATTATTTCAAAATCTTATAGAAATAGTTACTGAGCTGAAAATAATAATTGATAATATATAATTGTATAATAATTGGAAATTCGAAATTATATTATATATGAAAAATCTTTCAGAAAAGTTTTTTCTCGTATGGCATGGCAACACTAAGTCACATTCATGTTGATTATTCATGATTTCTAATCACAGATTCTTTCAGGAATCACATCAAATTTCTTCATTTACGATACTTTTAATTTAATAACACTGCTAATAATGGTTAAATACTTAGAAATTAAATAATATATACTTATTTTATCAGTCTATGTATGATTGTTAACGCATGACTCATGAGTTTCTAATTCTTGTTACGGCATAATATGGCTCAGAAAAAGCTTAGCCTAGTAAAGCCTAGTAAAATTTGTATGAGTAAAACAATGTAATTGCAAGATTAATTTGATTGAAATAATTTCTTCGCCAATTATTCCAATCAAAGCTTTCTCACGTGAAAAAATCCTTTAAGATATATAGCATATGAGTCATGAATTTCTGATATTTGTCACCTCATAATTTAACTGCCTAAAAGTTTTCATTGGAGCCTTATTAAAATTGAAGAATGTAAATAACAATAAGACAAATATTATTTCTATACGAGTCATGAATTTCTAATATTTGTCACTTTATCATTTGACACGATAAAGGATTTCATTAGAGCCTTATTGAAAGTAAAAAATTATAACAATAAGATAAATATTGTTTCCATATGCCTTATGAATTTCTAATATTCGTCACTTATGTAATTTAACAGCATAAATGTTTTAATTGGAACCTTATTAAAATGAAAGAATATGAATAACAATAAGACAAATATTGTTTTCAAATGAGTCTTGAATTTAAAATTATTTGTCATTTCATAATTTGACAGATTAAGGATTTCATTAGAGCCTTATTAAATATAAGGAATATGAATCACAATAAAACAAATGTTATCACAACCAGGATCTGATTTGAGAATGACTTATTGGTAAATTAATCCAACCAAAACTGCTTCAAGTAAATGCTATTGTGCGTAATCGTAACTATAATTCTTTAGAATAGTTAATGTGGTAAATTAGAAATATAAATCTTCAGAACTGTTTGTGAATTTCATTAGAACTATTAATCTTTTCACACATTGAATTTCAACTCATCACTATTATAAGTTTACTAGCTGAAAGGAAATTACAACACGATGACCAGACTTTGCAATTACAAAAAATTAATACCAATCTTACAAAACTGCCTTTTTTTCTCATCCAATCACTGTCTGACTAAAATATTCACATTCTTTACGCGAAGAGAGAAAACGCATTTTTTTTCCAAACCAGTCAAAATATATAAAATGAAAAAAAAAAGTGTAAAACAGAGGAAAGAAATGGTGGCACTTGTGCAACGTGAGTTATGTTTTGCTTTGACCATTTTTTTTATCATAATGTTCCATTTGGCTCGATTTTTCAAAGTTCGATGCTCATAAATCGCATCAAGAAAGTGAGGCCAAACGCGAAAGCGATTGTCCATCCATATCTCTGGACGCTAGCAGTATTACAGCCATCCTCTTCGCAGCAGAAGAACTCAGAAAGTTCCTGAACTGAAAAAGAAAATTTGAACTAGTTACTAACACTGAAATTGTCTGAATGTTTAATAATATATGACTACAAAATATAAACCGTAATAAAAAATTATCTTAGTCCACAGTTAATGATGATGTATAAGAAGGGAAAAAGTATAGGTTAAAATGTACGGTCGCCTCTAGTCACAGGGAGACTATATAAGAAATGGTGATTAAAAAATTGCCTTCCAGTCGCCATCAGAATACCACTTTTTACGTCGAAATCGCCCGTCGCAATTAGAAATGAACATTGTAATGTTATCATATTTTAAGAAATAGAATAACGAAAAAAAAATTTAAAATCAAAAAAAGTTCTTACATTATTAATATCAACAGCTTTCAAAATTTTCCATTTTTGAAAAAGTGGCCGCTGGCTAATAGCAAACTTTCCCAATTTTTCTGTGTAGTGAAAGAGCTTCGTGAAAATAAAGACTATTCATGACGCTTGTTAAAAGTTTCATAAATAGTGTTGACTAATTATGAAAAGTTTGCTTAGAATAAAAAAGTCTTTATTTATAAAGATCAATTCACAATTTATAAATCTTGCACAGTCTAGGTAGGTCTGAGAAAATATTATACAAACATTTATTAGTTATAGCTCATTTATAACTAAAAATTAAACACGATTTAATAAACAACTGCATAGTGGAGAAAAAAGATATAGCCCTGAATAACTTTTATTTTAATAATTATATTTTTACAAAACTAAGTGTCAGTCCTGATGGTGTGAAATGGTGACTTCAAAATGCTATTCAATAAGTGCTGACTATTAACTAAGTTACAAAATCACTAGGGCCGCTATCGCTCAGTGGTTAAGGCACTGGGCTATCACAGTGAAGAACTGAGGTTCGATCCCCAGTGACGGCTTGAAGCCCGCCCTTCTTCAGATCAATGGGTACCAGCTTGAGCTATGGGAGCTCAGGTGATAGAGCGCTTGCCTTCCAATGAGATGAACCGGGTTCGAATTCCAGCGATGGCTAGTCGATTCGAATTTCGCACCCGGATTGCATCAATCACAGTGATGACGTAAAAATATACTTCGTGGTAGACGGATCATGGACTGGATTCCCCTTGCCATCAGGCAAACCGTGGGAGGTTTTCGTGGTCTCTCCTCACCATGTAACGCCGATGTGGGTTAATTCCATCAGACAAGTCCTCCACGAAGGCAAATTTCTTCCAATACTTGATCCAGGAGCACCCTTTGCTTATGGACATGGTTCAAAATAACAAGGATACGGAGTTGAACATTAATAGTCGTAAACACAAAAATTGGGTCGGCTGTTCAACGACGGTTATAAAATGTAAAATAAAAACACTTAGACTACATTTTAGTTCGTGAAAAACTGCATTTTCCTTATTATTAAGATATTAAAGTGTTCTCTTTTTTCATTTTCCACATTGTACAGCGCGCAAAAAAGAGAACATCTAAATTACATTCTATATTTCTTGAACATCTATAAAACCAAAAACATTTGCTTCTCCAACTATGCATTCATGTAAAAAATGAATTATAATAATTACTTATAAATTTTTATTCTTTTATTTAATAATAGTGCAAAACTTTGAATTTGCATCACTTTAAAGAATTGCATTTTTAAATTTTAAATAGCAAAATACGAAATGAAATTGATCGAATAGCCTCTGAGTTAGCAAGTTGTAAAACATTCATGCATTTACAATACAATCTTAATGGTGATTGAGTTTCATAATCAATGTTTTGTCATTTACGCTAATATCTTACTGGAGTATTACGTTGACATCGGAACGTGTTTAGATTTTAATAAAATCTTTTACCATTTGTGTTTTTTAAAACATTGTTTTTAAAATGAAACTTTAAATTTCAGCATAGAAATTCTGCTAAAACTTACACTCATGAATACAACTCATCAATATTGCCGCTTACAACTCGCTTACACATCGCCTCTTACGAATCTCGAAGTCATGAATATTGCCTTTAAAGACAATAATCATGAACAGTTAAAACAGGGGAAGAATTGTTCGACTAATACGGCGAGTGTGTGAACACAAATGTTTTAAATTTGGAATTTTTTTTCAAAAAATTCCCAATTTTTAAACTATTAAAAACTTTTTATTTTTCCATATTTTTTAAAGCTAATTTTTGCGTGATTGCAATGATCTGCGCATTAACTTTCTTATGTGTTAATTCTAAGCTTTTATATATTTATTTATAAGCAAAATTAGAGAAAAAAGTTCAAAAAATATCTATAAAAAAAGTATTTCTATCCACAGAGTTATAAACTCCGTAACTAAACTTTTAGGAATGTTTAAGGTACTCATTCTAAGCACAGTTCTTATCATGCTGGTTGTAAAACAGTAATCTTTATCTTCAATTAAAACAAAAATCCCAAGTGGCTTATGTTACTTGTTAACACCAAAAAAGCATATGCAAAAAAAAAAGAGATTTAACCACTTTCAGAACCGTGATCACAAATAGCGATATCAAGTGATTCGCCCTTCAAGGCCCGCAGTATCATACTTGAAAAGGAACCTTCCTGACTCTAGCGGCCCAAGTTTTTATTTTTTTATTAGAAAGACCACTGCTTTTTATATGCACCGAAGAGCCATTCATTACATTATGACCACCCACCATCTGTAACAATGGGCTCGCCCAGGTTTTCATGGTTTCTCGCCCAGGAACAATGTTTTAATGGGGCACATTAGGACGCATAATCCTCATAGAACAATCCCTGACGTCTGTAAGCTACTTGAACATAGTTGCAGACCAGGTTCATCCATTCATGGCAACAGTTTTTCCTGCGGGAGATGGTGTTTACCAACAGGATAATGCACGATTTCATAAGGGTCGAATCGTCATGAATTGGTTCGAGGAACATTTCAGTAACTTTCAAGTCATGTCTTGACCCCCAAATTCTCCTGACCTTAATCCAATAGAGCATTTGTGGTCCTACTTGGAAAACCAAATTCATGCTGCCACGCTACCTCCTCGCAATGTGAGGGAATTGCAGGACCAGTTGGTGAGCGCTTGGTACCAGATACCTCAGACTACCTATCAGCACATTGTGGAATCAATGCCACGGCGGGTGCTACCAGTTCTGAGGGCTAAAGGTGGTCCTACATGTTATTAGCAGGGTGGTCAAAATGTAATGGCTCTTCGGTGTATATACACTGGTATAAGAAATTATGAGAATTTGCCGACTGGGTCGATTATCTCCAGAGCTACTGTACTGATTTTAATGAAATTTGATATGCACATACACTGATACAACACAAAGCAAATAATCATTCAACAATTGTAATACATACTCATGATTGTGCGTAACACTCGTTGGAGTCGGAAGGTATGAAACAGCGGTTGCAGAACATTTTTTTTAAAAAAAAGGGTTAATAAGGGGTAGTGTCCCCTCTTACAGATATGTTGGCCCTGCAGCGTGATTTCATACTTGAAATAAGGCAGTTTATCATTTCCAGTGGCAATTGGCCTGATTTGTCTTGTGGCAATTTCATACCTTCCGATTCTAACGAGTGTTACACACGATGATGAGTGTGTATTACAATTGGTGAATGGTTATTTATTTTGTATTGTATACATGTATGTACATATAAATTAAAGTCATTAAAATCAGTCCAGTAGTTCTAGAGATAACCGACCAGGTCTGCAAATTCTCTTAATTCTTTACACCAGTGTACATAAAATCGCTTGCAACTTTATAATGTAGAGCTTTACTGCGTATAGAGAGACACAAATATTTTATTGTATTTGGAGTTATTTTGAGTTTTAATGTAAGCAACGTCGATACTTTTGTTATATTCAACTAATACAAGAGCTAGAAACATATATGGTAGACTTAAATGTAAGTTAACATTACTTTTGATTTATATTTATATATTATTTTGTTATAGTTAAAAACGAAAAATAATAGTTCACATATTTTTAATGATCTATATATAAAAACCACAGCAGACGAAAACAAATAAGAAAAAATTTTTCTCAGAAACATTTGACAAAAATGCAATCGAATGGGATGGTGTGGCCAAAAAACGGCCATAGAATGACCCATAATGATTAATGGCCCGAAGATTGATGCTGGCAATTGTGAGAGAAGAATTCCCTTTTGTATGAACACCTTTTTGTTCGTTCAGATCTCCACTAGTCAAGGCTTTAAGTTCAATGAAGGAATGTAAGTAGTTGATAGTGAACAATAAATAAGACTGATGGGTGGTTATTAAATCGAAAGATTGGGAAATTATTTATTCCTTCTTATAGTCTTATTTTCTGAAAGGAAAGATAAAGGCCAACATTTTTAAAAATTTTTATTTACATGAGCTTCTACTTAGAACTTTGAATTTGACAACATTTCATGAAGTTATTTTATTTGTTTTATGCATTTTCCCTCCTAAAGTCTTTGGCAACACTATTTAACTCATTTTTATTTTATTTTATAACCGACGTTGATCAGAGGACCGAAAAAATTTTTGTGCTTACGACTACTAATGTTTAATTACATAGCCTTGAAATTTTAAACCCAATCCGGAAGACAAGGGAACTCCTGGATCAAGTATTAGGTACATTTTTGCATACGTGGAAGACTTTTTGATGTATCCGCATTTGCGTTACATGGAGAGGAAGACCACGAGAACCTCCCATGGTTAGCCTGTCAGCAAGGGGACTGGAACGCATGATTCGTCTATCACTGAGGATATTTTACGTCAGTATTGTAGTCGATCATCAGTGGGATTCGAACCCTGCGCACCTCATTGTAACCCGCGAACGCACTGTCCCATAACTGCTCACACTAATTTTTAATGGTGATTTTTGTAATCATTAAACAAAAAGTAATTTTGAAAAATATAAAAAAAATATGTTATGAAACTTAAAAACTTAATTGCAGCTATGGATTTTAGAAATTTTAAAAAATTTGGACAATATTATTTTTTTCAATAATAAATTTATTGATTACTAATTACTTAACTGTACATATGAAACTGACAAATATAAATTAGAAATTTTCATGGGAATAAAATTTTTTTATACGATATAATAGTTGATTAATTTAGAACATATAAAGTCAAATTAAAATGGATCAATCTGGAAGAGATGAATGTTTTATTTGGAAATTTATGCATAATCCTTTGAATAAAATTTTTATACGATATAACATAATATTTCAACTTATTTGAAAAATATCAATTAAAGTGAAAATGAATTTAGATCATCTGGATCATCTTAAAATAATTTTGAGACTTATATATGAGTAAAATTTCTTAATACGATATAATATAATATTTTGATAAATTTTGAAACTATCAATTTGAAAATAAATTTAGATTTATGTGGAAGAGATGAGTTTTGAATTAGTTGGAAATTTATCTATAATTTATAAATAATAACTAAAAAATTTTCAAGCGATATAACATAATATTTTAATTGATTTAGAAAATAGGATTTGAAACGAAAATAAGTTTGGATTAGTCAAGTAAAAAGGAATTTTTGAGTGATTTAGAAACGATGTATAATTTCTCGGTTGAAATATTTTAACATGCTAAAAATAATAACTCAATTAATGTTAGCCAAATATCAGTCAAAACATTTTTTTTACTTGCAAATATGAATAAATATAGTCTGAACATTTATCTTTATTTAACATTTAACACATTGTATAGGAATAAGATATAATCAATAAATGAATAAAATATAATCTAAATAAAAAATAATTCTTGAATGATTAGAAAAATGCTGTATAATTATCCTTAAAACATAATAATGCAATATATAGGAAAATTTGAAAAATATATATACTTCCTGGTTTGCATTCCTGCACACAATCTCGAACGATAATTCCTTCATTCAAATATTTCTAAAAAATAAAACAAAATCACCAATTAGAATACTATTACATTGCAAACAAACAAAGTCTTTAAGTCTAATATATCTTATTTAAAGGTTGGGTACTGCGCTACTGGCAAAGAAACTTCTTATTTATTTGTAGTTAAGGTAAAGAAAGAATCTTCAGAAGATAAGCAAAATTATGTTATTAATTAACTTGAAACCGGAACTTGTGGCTATTATAATCCAATGTTAAACTGTCAAACTGATCTTCTAATTGTTTAAAAAATGTCGTTATTTTTCATAAATTAAATATTCTGAATGAAACATAAGTTTAATATTCTGAATAATCATAAAAAAATCTCGGAATCGACATTTCATATAGAAAAGTCTTTAATTGCTTAAAAGAATGGAGTCAAGAAATTCTCTTTGAAAAAAAAAGCCTTTAAGGAAATAATTTTAAAAATATTTATAATTAAAATTTTCACTCAATTGATTTAATTTTTAGATTTTTAAAAATTCAATAAAACTTTTAAATAATTTTCTTTGTTGAATAACTTTTTGAATTCCCTCTAAGAAAAAAATGCTTTGAAAACATACTTTTTTAAAAAAAAATAATATGTTTTAATTTTTTTAACACTGTTCATGAAATATATTTTGGAAAAAAATCTTATTTTTAGAAAAAAAAAATCTTTAAATTTTTTTGTAAAAAAATAATAATTGAAGGTTACAAAATATTTAGAAAATTAAATCTATTTAAAAAATAACATAAAAATATTTAAATTAAAAAATAAAAATAAATTTTAATATTTTTAATACAAGAATTTTAGAATAATTTATTAATTCTTTTTCATTTTTTTAAAAATCTGTATTTATATTTTTTGTAATTAAAATACCGTTAAACATAATAAATTTTATAATTCGTAAAGTATTCTTTATAATTCATTCATGAACTCACTACTTACTACTTTATGCTCATAAAGAAAATGAATAATTTCCTTTCCAAATCTTTGTCAAAGAATGCAAAGTGTCAGATCGAACGAAGTTAATTTACATCTGATAGTTTATATGCTGTGTAAGATTCAAAAACTAATTTTAAAAAATTTTTCCTCTATATAAGCTCAAATATTTTAAAAATCCAATACAAAATTTAAAATGAAATGTATTCTACGTGGTAATGGCATTCAGAGAAATTTTAGCTGGAACATTTACATATATTTCTATTCCCCTGAAAATGTCAGCTCTGGACGAATTTTACTAGCGTGAGGAATGAGTAGTTTTAAAGTTAGAATAATTTTAGAGATATCTTTTATATGATAGCAGCTTTCCGTGATTTATTATTAAGTCGTTGCAATTCTAATGCCGTCGTCTAACCTAAAATCCTGTGGATGGAATACAGTGGGTTGCACAATTCAAGAAATTGCACTATTTTTTTACTCCATAAAAATCGCCATTTCTTTTCGCTGCACACAGACATAGAACATTTTGTTCGTCGAAAATATTAAGATTATTAACAGTTCCTGATAAAAAGCTTTAAGTGCGACAATCTTTGTGTACAAAATGGTCTACAAAAATGGGAATTAATCTGCATAACTTTTGATTTACTAACTGGATTTTTACATGTATAAATTTAAAATCTTTGATGTGTGTGTGTGTGCGTGTGTGAAATGTAGCAGTCTAACCGAGCAGGAAAACGAAATGAAATGAACGGTAGGATTTTAATGAAAGCAAAATAATTTTATTTGATCATTTTAAATTGGATGACGAGCGAAAAATGAAGTTTACTCCATCGACGATCAGTCTTTCTGGTAGGGAAAATCTTGCAAAAAATCCGAAAATGTCTCTATTTTGGGTAAAGAGGGAAATTTATTGGTTTATGAAATAGGTCGTGCGATTCCCACAAAGAGTAAAGGGAAAAATGTCTTTACCTTTAATTATGCATACTTGAGTTAAAAATAGTTTTAAGAATAGGATGTGACTTTTTAAAAGTATGAGAAAGTGTTTCGATTAGAATAATTAATTGGGATTTGTTTTATAGAAAAGAAATAACATAAAAAGATTAATAGAAGCTTTATATGTTCGTACATGAGTTGTTTAAAAAATTAAATAAAATGCACATGCAAGAGAACTATATGAAGCAGTGTATAGATTTTATAAAATTTATTTTACTTGTTCAAAAAGTAATGAAATGGAGACACTTGTGTAATAAGGCAAGATGGAAAATTTTTAAGTTCTTGATATAAGTTGTTAAGTTTTATTTGTACTTTTTTTCCAAAAAGAATAAAAAGTCAAACATTAGTAGAGTAAGGCATTAGAGACAACATGGTGTTAGTTTTGTTTCCAAGTAAAATTATCCCAATGTCATGCTGGATAAAAATTATATATGTACGTCTTCTTATAACACGTGCTCATTTCGATTACATGCGAACATATCTCCAAGTCATCTTATTCTGTGCTCTCATTTCGGTTAGATTAAAAGAATATAAAAATATTCTTTTTATCCATAATGTCCCAACATTCGAGTTGCATTGAAATATTAGTTCCATACCAACTGGTTCAACGCGTTTCTTTCGATTATAAAGAAAACAAATTCTTACATCACATTATTACACGTTTTCATTTCAGTTAAATTGTGAGCAATATCTCATGTCCTCTTGTTCTATGCTTTCATTTCGGTTAGATTAAGAGCATATAAAACAGTTAGATGGAAAGCGTATCCTTATGGTAATCATGTTGTTCTCCGAATCCATTTTGTTCGGAGAGAAAGTAGATTTTCATATCGTGTTGCTACACTTATGTGATTGTTACACCTAAGTTAGATTTAAATTCCAAGTTCTATTTATCTTTTAATTCATGAAAAATAAACTCAAACGTGCATCAGATACTTTTTTTAAAAGACTTTTTTTTCAAAGCAATATGCGCGATCACTTTCCACACATATTTTTACTACTTGTGTACCACGTATTGTGTAGTTGAAAAAAAACTTTTTTTTTGCAAGAGAATGTTCCACAAAGATCAAGATATGAATATCTTTTTCTTCCGATGCCTATATATGTTATTGAAAATCAGTAAACATTTTGCGAAATGTTTTCCTCGTTGTTGTTGCTGTTGTCGTCTGCAATTAACACAGAGAGGAGGCCCGATTGTTCTTGTTTCCCAATGGCGCCATCTATGATCAAGCATTCAACTTCTGCCGCACTCGTTTATATGACGGGCTCATTCATACATCCATTCATTCGTCCACTGAGGGTATTTTTTGACCTGAACCAGAAAAAGATCAATCTCAAATTCAGTTTCCTCCTTCCTTGATTTGTTATGAGATTATAGAGGACTTTGTGACCCGGCAGATTTAACGTGCACCAGTCACCATCTAAGGGTGGACCATCTTCGGGAGTCTTCGACCGGCTAGATTCGAACTCCTGTTCTCCCAAACGCGAGTCCAGTGCCCTGCCAACCACGCTATCCCGGCTGCCCATGTTTTCCTTTTAAAACATGTAGTACAGAATAGTTTGACTACTAACGTTTTTTTTCCTCTCTGAGTGTTCAATATTATAATTGTTTACGTAGTTACCAAAGCGCAATTTAGAAAATTAAAATTGAAAAATAGAAGTAAAATTATTGCTTCTAGAGTTAGGCTTCTGAAACACTTATAATGTTTTAAAAATATATTTTTTTTGCTATTTCAAATTCAATTCATTGTTTCGTTCTAAATCTTTGCTGTGATAAAAATTAATTACTTTGTATTTAAAGCGCTAAGGAATGAAACGATTATTTTAAGTTTTCCTTATTTTTTTAATGTTAATAATTATTTCTTTAAATTCCTATTCATTCGTCTTGTTTCGTACTTAATTATGTTTTTATCATTAACAGAGCAGTTACAATTTATAATTATCCATTTGGTGAGAAGTTGATTTTTGGAATACAAAGAACCATTAATGAAAACTTTTCTTTAAAATTTCTTTTAGAAAATCAAATACAAAATGCTCTTCGTTTTCGACCACTAGATATTGCATTTAAACTGTTCACTACAAATAAGAAAAACTACTTTTGTATTTTTAAAACAACAAACCAATTACTGACATAACATTATTTTTAGCGTCAATTTCGAAGCCACAATCTCCCTTAATTGTTTGTTTTTTTGCAGGAAGTATTTCGATCATTAATTCTGAATATATAAAATGACTTTTAATGACTGTTAATTAAGTGTGATCGAGAAGTTCATGGTAACATTTGCTTTAGGCTGGGACTAATTAAACAACAAACGTATTATAATGCAATGAAAAACACTTCACCTAACATACTTAATTAAATAACTCCCAGGAAAAGCAAGGGATAAAAAAAAAGAAAACGAACGAAAAAAAAGAAAAAAATTCTTTCGAATATATTAAAATAATCTAAATCTTCAAAAGCACGCATGTATTTACTGTTTATGAATTTTTCGTTAAGAGTTTTTTTTCCTGTAAAAAAAGAAATTAATTATTTATTAGTTTACCCCTAAATAAATAATAAATAATTTATTCATAGTTTTACAAAAGAAATTCTATTAAGATATCAAACATTTTTGGAATGTTTTTGGCTCAAATCAGTTTTGATGTACTACTTTAGCTTGAATTACAGTAAATTGAAAATATTTGTGATTCTGTTTGAAACTTAGAACAGCCATATAATCGCTGTTAATTATTCTGGTTTCACATAAGCTCATTTCGTTAATTTCTCCTGTCTCATACGAACTCAATATGCCAGTTTTTCCGATTCATATTAACTCTTATGATACCAATGTCCTGACTTCATATAAATTCAGTGTGATAGTTTTTTTCTGTTTCCATACAGATTCAATGGTGAGTTTTCTGGTTTCATATATATAAAGGCAAAGCTCAACAAAATTTCTGTAGATAAATTATCAAAATTTATTTATTTCATAAACAAAACCATCTACACTATATACATTGTCTCAGCTTAGCAGAAACAATTACTAAATTTAATCTATATAAATATAGCGGAATACGTATCTTACATGTTAGTCTGGCCTGTATAATACGAATGCATAGTTTATACAGGCCGGGAGAGCCTGGTTGGTAGAGTACTGGGTCCATGTCCAAGAGGTCGTGAGTTCGATCCCCGCCGGCCGATGACTCCCAGTGTAGTAAATGGTGACTGGTGCACGTTAAATCTACCAGGTCATGAAGCCCTCCATGTTCCCCCAAAAAAATCATGCCTCTGGGGGTATTGAATTGGAGATTGATCGTTCTCTGGTTCAGATCAAAATTACGATCCGTGGATGAATGGATGTACAAATGGGTTCGCCTTATAAACGTATTGCTGAAATCGTATTCTTGTCCATAGATGGCACCACTGAAAAGCAAGAAGCGTACCCTCTGCCTTAAATACGCTTGGTATCACCAAGCAGACTTGCTGGATGGGAAAGTGGCATTAGTAACAATAACAACATATAGCTTATACAAATCCAGATTTCTGAGCCGATCCGCTCTAAATTTGGTGTAAATAAAGCATACAGCTAACCAATTACTACTAAAATAATTCATCTTATTAAATTGTAATTGATCCGAATTGATCAATGGGACTTATTATTCCAATAACAGAAAAAAAACTGATAAAATATAAAAAGAGAAAAATCGAAAGATGCCTTGACGGATAGCCACAAACTCGCAAAATTGCTTTTTTGGCGTGAACCTACCAACTTATATGATATTTTCCTGGTTTCATATAAATTTAGATGCTAGTTTTTCAGATAGGATATAAATTCATTGAGCTGAATTTCTGGTTTCATACAAATTCTCGTAATGCTACTTTTTGTAACTTTATACAAACTGATTATGCTAGTTTTTCTTATTTGACTTATCGAACTAATAATAACTAGAGAATATTACTTTTAATAGCCTTTTTAAAGTTTTAACTGCAAGTAAGTATCAACTTTTAAACGAAGGTTTTTTATTAATGATGCTTGCTAATTGAGTTCTAAAAACATTGAAGATATAGAAAAATTATATTCCAAAGAATACTCCCAAAAATGTAATTGTTGACATTGCATTTTTAAAATAATTATTGTATAATAGCGTATTATATTGTATAATAACGTATTTTATAATTATGTAGTTGCTCTACTAATAATTTCATTTTATAAGAATTGAAGTAACTTGAAGCAAAACATTGCAAAGATGTTTAAAAAAAAAGGTTTTAGTACAGGGAATTTAGGTAGCCTATCATAAATAAAAACGGCTAAATTGTATCTTTGCAAGACATTTTCTAATAAAATTTAAGTTAATTTAAAAACGAACTATGTAAAACAAAATAACAATGAATGTAAAGTCATTTTTATTGCTCATCCTTGAAAAAAAAATAAAAAAAAAGAATAAATAAAGTATGAAAAAGGAATGAAACACGATTTTAAATATTTAGTAAAAAATATGGTTGTCATTAAATTATGAATCTATTTCTCCATTTCTCTCTCTCTCTCTCTCTCTTTTTCTCTCTCAAGATAATGAATGAATAGAGTATGAGTGAATGGATAATGAATGAGTGGAAGGTAAATGACAATGAACGAGTATTTAAAAGAAAAGTTTCTTATAAGCGATACATAAAAATGAAGAAAGAATAAACAAGTTTATAAAATATTTCATTTGTAAATTTGTGTTCATTTTTATATTTATATATTTTTCTACAATTTTTACTAATCATCTCATTATTGACTATTCTAAAGAAAAGGAATGATGTTTCAAAATATTAATAAAAGATTTATTAGATACTGAAATAAAATGTATGATTCGCTGAGAAAAATGAATGACTCCATTAAAATGTTAAAGACGACATAAATTACACTAAACTATTTTTGGACGACTTAATCCATAACATAATGTTTTAATTTGGTGAGATTAATACTGAAGTAATACTTCATATGAATTAATTTTCGATTCAAATGCCTTTCTCCAAATACTGAGACTTACTTAGAAATTCCAACGATAGCAAATTAATTCTCGATTTTCTCTATGAAATATCATATTCAAGACAAAATTCTTTAATGGTTTATCTCTGAAATTTTGATAATATAACAAACGTCATAGCAAGTAATTAAAACTTAACAGCAGTAAACGTCTAGAATATGTAATGAATACATTCTAAACGATTCGACGTTTAAACCTTTTCATTTCGTTTTATAGCTTCGTATTTAAGAGGATATGCATGCACGTAAATGCAATGAAGTCGCGTTTAGAAACCTAATAACACATTTGAGATATATAATGGCAGATTTTGACTTCAGATAAATGAATTGTATTTTTAGATAGAAACGTTATTTAATGGTTGAATCGGGGAATGATAATGTATATCTATAAAAGCTTTAACAAATAGCTAACTGGATTTTTATGGGGCATAAAATGACAAATATATACTTTATATTGCGTAATTAATGTTTTTAGAACAATTCACAAAAAATAAAGTAATTTATCATTCAGAGACGAAAACAGCGACAGTTAAAGTAAAAAAACGAAATTTTCTTTTGCTTCTAACTATATCGTTTTCACTTCAAGAAAAAAAGAATAATTAGAATAATTCGCTTTAATTAGAAATAATTTTTAATAATTTAGTTAAAAAAACAATTTTTTAATTGATAAAAAATGATTTTAAATACATAGAATATCATAATATTTTTTTCATAATACTCATGAATTTAGTTATATGAGTTATTAAAAGCGCAATTTAGGTACGGTAAATGCAAAACATTTAAACATAAATTTTATTTAAGATTACTATGAAATTACCTAGCCCAAAAAAACGAGCATTTAATAATTTTTGATCTAATAATCAGATTTTCGCGTACTAGAACTCGATTTTTGTGTATTAAGTGCGCACCTATATCGTTATACGGATCTGAGACGTGGACTTCAATTAAAAGGAATTTCGATTTTTTGTGAATATGGGTAAAAAAAAAGAATTTTTTTAACGAAAATTTTGGGTGCAATTTGTGAGGATGGACATAGAATGATCAGAACAAATAAAGTGATTTATGGTAAATATGTGTTACCAGACATTGCTACAAATATAAGAATAAAAAGAAGCTAATGATTTGGACACATCTTAAAAGTGGGCTGGGAAAAAAGTGTTAAATGATTATTAAATGGAGAACCAGAAGGATCAAGAAAAGACCTAGAACTAGGAAGAAAAAATTGAAGGAAACCCAAAATCACTAAAATCTTATTTTCTTGACTCACACTTATTTTTTTTAATCTTTTCTCATTCTAAGCTTATAACTTTAGATATTTAATTCAGAGTTTTGTGGTTTTCCTTTTTTGACACATACAGGATGTCCCAAAACGCCCGCATAAACTATGCACAGCTAGATTCCTCGTTGGGAGTACATAAAAACTGCCCAAAGAAGCGTTTCTGTACGATACATAGTTTACGAGAAAAATACGAAAAACAAAGTATGACATCACTGCCGGTGCAAGAAAAAGCACTTTATTGAACATATCAACAGAAGTATACTATGCACAATTTAAAGCAGATGTTCAAAGTGTCCGCCGTACATGTCGAGGCAGGCTTGAGCACACCGTAGAATGACTGTCATCACACGTTGCAGCATCGCGGGTTCCTCCGCTATCGATTGGACCCTATCTGTTGCCTGAACGGCTCTCCGGAGTCGTACTTGGTGTTTCTCAATGAGGTCTTAACCGAGTTCCTCGATGACATACCCTTGGCGACAATACAGGGACTTTGGTTCCAGCATGATGGGGCTCCGGCTCATTTCCGTGCTCCTATACGTGGTAGGCTGGATATGGAATACCCCGGCCGCTGGATCAGACGTGGGGGTCCGGTTCTATGGCCACCCTGTTCACCAGATCTTACACCGTTGGATTTTTTCCTATGGGGCCATCTCAGGGAACTGGTGTATCGAGACGTAGTGACAACATCAATGGACTTAGTTGCTCGTCTGCATGCTCCTTGTACTTCGGTCGACCCCGTGATGCTGCAACGTGTGATGACAGTCACTCCACGGTGTGCTCAAGCCTGCCTCGACATGCACGGTGGACACTTTGAACATCTGCTTTAAATTGTGCATAGTATACTGCTGTTGATATGTTCAATAAAGTGTTTTTTCCTGCACCGGCAGTGACGTCATACTTTGTTTTTTCGTATTTTTCTCGCAAACTATGGATCGTACAGGAACGATTTTTTAGTAGTTTTTATGTACTCCCAGCGAGGAATCTAGCTGTTCAGAGTTTACGCGGTCGCTTTGGGACACCCTGTATACTAGTCTGAGCAACGTTAGTTTCAGCTTTTTCCGAATTTCAAATGCAAGTTTCCCTGCATCTGAATTATAATTTTGTATAGTAAATATGTTTAGTAAATTATAACTTTGCCTCGAGAGTAAGACACTGTCAACTTTGGCGTTTTTTTATTTAAAAAAATATACATTAGACTAAGAGACACCCAAATTATACTTTTAAGAGTGGAAATCCCAAAACTTTTTAAAATAAAAAAAATCTTTTTATTGACTTCAAAACACTTTTTTTTATTTTCCCTCTAATAATTTACTAGACAAATTCCATTTTTTAATGCTTTACTTCATAGGTATGATACAAAATTTATAGCAATTTGGGTAAAAAAAAATTTAAAGTTTTTTTCATGCAAATTGTTGTTAGTGTAAAATTTATGCGTTTATTACTTACTAGACAGTACCTGTCCCACGTGTGACACTCTTTAAGGTCAGTTTCGTTAAAAGTGTAGCAAGGAATCACAGAACCTGCGCCATCTGGTGTGTACTTTCCACATCTGAAACACTTCAGTGCTACAGTCATAGATACTGCAAAAGAAAAAAAAATTGTTAAATATGTTCTCATAGTTGAATAATATTAAATAGCACTTGTATACACAATTGAAGCAATATGTTTATATGTATGTGTATGGATGGAGTTTTCTACACTAAGGTGCACTGCAAGCTATTTAGTGCCTATACTTCCGGGTAACTGTTTCCGGCGTTTTTTGAAGCCACTTGGCTCATAACGTGATCATTATGTTTTGAGATTATCTTGAGTAGTATTTCTTATATAAGTGTATTTGCTTAACTTACATTTTCCTTGCCTTTAAATTCTGAATTACTTATATCGATGAAAGAGAAACTGAAATAAAGTATTTCTCCCATTGTATAGCTTCCTCCTAATTATCCATAAAGTCACCATGTAGTCGAAAAAAGCGTGATATCATTTAGAGAGTATTCCTTTGGAAGATATTGATATCCTAATAAAGTTAGATATCCACCATTATACACCGAAGAGCCATTACATTATGACCACCCTCCATCTATGACAATGGACTCGCCCAGGTTTTCATGGTTTCTCACCCAGGAACAATGCTTTCATGGGGCACATTAAGACCCATAATCCTCATAGAACAATCCCTGACGTGTGTAAGCTACTTGAACACAGTTGCAGACCAGGTTCACCCCTTCATGGCAACAGTTGTTCCTGCGGGGGATGGTGTTTACCAACAGGATAATGCACCATGTCATAAGGGTCGAATCGTCGAGGAACATTCCAGTGACTTTCAAGTCATGTCGTGGCCCCTAAATTCACCTGAGCTTAATCCAATAGAGCATTTGTGGTCCTACTTGGAAAACCAAATTCGTGCTGCCACGCCACCCCCTCGCAATGTGAAGGAACTGCTGGACCAGTTGGTGAGCGCTTGGTACCAGATACCTCAGACTACCTATCAGCACCTTGTGGAATCAATGCCACGGCGGGTGCCAGCAGTTTTGAGGGCTAAAGGTGGTCCGACGTGTTATTATCAGGGTGGTCATAATGTAATGGCTCTTCGGTGTATAGATAATGATTAAAAGATTAAAAAACAGCTGAAGTAAAACTTTCTTTAGTTTTTTAAGATTTGTTTCTTCATAATTAACGAACTTAAAACTTTTAAAACGCTTCATGAGGGTTCTCGAAATAAACCTTTTAAGATTTGTCATTCATAGTTACACTAATCAGTATCATACACACGATACTGAATATTCTTATCATCCTCGACAATTATTAAAACTCGAGAAATCAATGGCGTCGTTAAATTTCGGTGCTAAATAAGATTAGGTTAGGCATTTTTCCAAACTAAATCACGCGAAACCGTTCAAAAGTGTCACCCTCACACGAGAAACTTTGCGGCTATTGATCTTTCCAACAACTCTCTTCACTTCATTTCTTAAATTTAATGGAAGATGTATAAATTATTTAATAAAAATAAATATGTCGGAGTTTGGGGAAAGAGTAACGTTTTCTCTATCGATGAGAATTTGCCGCTCGAATGAACACGTGACGGACGCAGAAATATTCTTCGAATTTACTGAATATGTTTCGTGCATCGAAACGCCCCTCCCCACCACAATTTTACGCACAGAGAGAAATTTAATTTGAATTTCAAGCAATATTGAAATTAATAAAAAAACAAGTTTACAAACTAATGATTAATCACTAAAAGTAAGATTAAACTAATATGTAACAAATTATGGGTTTTGGTTATAAACTTCAAAGTCTAGTTAAATAGTTTGAACGTTATGTTGGCTTGAAATATGAGCACTATAAAAATTACTAATAGTTTAACTATAAATATTAATGTGAGAAATAACTATGTAGGAAAGTTTTTATTTCTCTTTCGTGTTTCTTTAAACTTCATAAGTGAATAAGAAAAACCGATCGTTGATCAATTAAAAAAAATGAACGCATAAAAAAATTACATTTTTATATGCCACAAAACGCTTTACTCTTAGGCGTTTAATACTATTTTAATTACTCGAAATTATAACTTTTTAGTTGTTTTTTTAAAATGTTCATTTAGCAATTTTTTATTTTAAGGGGAGTCGGTAGGGATATACCAATAATGTGCTAAAACTGACCTTTTTTTGATGTACCTTTTCGCAGCATCTAAACAAGATCTTGCGTCAATTTATTTTTATAGATTATTTACTCTGTGATAACTATTAATAGATATCTTTGGCAGAAGTTTTTTTAAAATAAATTATGAACTGAGAATTTTTAATTTTTTAAAAAGTTACATCATTTTTGAGCAAATATCTTTCATGACTTAAAAAGTATTTTCTGAACGCTGAAATATTATCACAGCATGCAACTGATAAAATCTCAAATATCCCCACAAAAATTTTAAAGCGGTATCATAAGTAGTTTCTTAGGAAAAGTACGTAGAAAAAGGTCAATTTTAGTAGTATTGATTTATGCCTCAACGTCCCCTTAATAACAAAATAATTTTTTCTCCTATATTACAATCTTTACTTGGGTATATCTTCATACCGTCTACGACAGTGGCACCCAATTTTTCCCAACTGCGGTACGCTAAATGTTCGACCATTTTTGGTGGAATTTTCGATTTAGTAAAAAAATTTCATTAGCAATTGTGAAAATGTTAACTACAGAAACTAGTAACTACTAATAGCTTTTTAAATATTTAATATGAAGAATTAAATGAATTCTTTCATTGTTTCATCAATAATAGTCTTAAAATTAGGTGCTATGCCAGGCGGTGAAACGTTTGAGTGAAACGTTTGAGGGAAAATACTAGTGCAAATATTGTTCTTACTCTTTGTTTTTTTACATCTTTTTTACTATATAGAGTGGCCAGGATAGTCTGGTTGGTAGGGTGTTGGACCCATGTCTAAGAGGCCTTGAGTTGGATTTCCTCCGGCCGAAGACTCCCTGTGTAGTAAATGGTAACTGCTGCACGTTAAATTTGTCAAGTCACAAAGCCCTCCATGTTCCCAAAACAAATTATACCACTTGGGGTACTGAATTGGAGATTGATCATTCTCTGATTTAGATCAAAATTACGATCTGGTATGAAAGAATGGGTATATCAACTAGTCCACTCTATTTGACGCATGTGTGGCTGAAGTCATAATCTTGGCCAAAGATAGAAAGATAGCGCCACTGGAAAAAAGGAAACGCACCCTCTGACTTAAATTCGCTTGGGATCACCTAGCAGATTTGCTGGCATTGGCAAGTGACATTAAAAACAAAAACAACTTCATAGATAAAAAAGTATGGCCAAAACTACCAGTATATGGTAAAATTTCCCACGTTTCTTTCTCTAAGAGAACAGCAAATAACTCGCGATTTTTACTAAAGTGTTTTGGTAATGATTTCGGTAAAATTAACAATAAAATATATGGTTTTATAATATAAAACCATATTTTATTGGTAACTTTTAATAATAGGTCTTAAAATTTGATTAAAAGCTTTCTTCTACAGTTAAAGAAAGAATCGCCGAATGGGAAATATTTCATCGTACAAGGAAGGCATCCGAAGTGTCACAGTAACAATTTTCCTTTGACGCCGATAAAGGCACCACCGAATTGAGTAGGTTTCGCCTCCGAAGGAAGGTACCCAATGAGCACTATTACAATTTTCCTTTGACGCCGATAAAGGTACCACCGAATTGAGTAGGTTTCGTCTCGGAAGTAAGGTACCCAATGAGCCACTATTACAATTTTCCTTTAGCGCCGATATCACCGAATTGAGTAGGTTTCGTCTCGGAAGGAAAATACCCAATGCGCCACTATTACAATTTTCTTATACGCCGAAACGAGTATTTCATTTCACAAGGAAAGTAATCGAAGTGTCACTCGCAAATAGATGATTTTTTTAAACAGTTTTTTTAAATTTTTGTTCATGAATTAATGTATGTAAAGCATTTTATAACTTCCGCATAAGTGGTGGAAACATAAATTATTAAAAATTTAAGTATAGGCAAAACAATTGTTAAAGAATCGCAGAAATTTCAAAAAATTCACGATAAATAATAAAGATGGAAAGTAATAAGATAAATAATAAGTTACTTATTAAACATTAATTTCTAACGAATTTTCATTAGAGTTCAAATTTAGCTTATAAATTGTTATTAAAAGAGATACTTGTAAACTACAACTCAAAGCGATATAATTTTTATTCCAATTTTTAAATCTAATATTTTAAAACGCAAATATTAAAGTGTCCAATTAAGAAGAAAAGCCTTAAAACCTTTTATAGACTTCGACTACGAAATGAATTTAACTTGGCGCTCTGGGTAAAAATTATAAAATTCGATTGTTTGTAACTTAACAATTACTTCGAAATAGTCAAAAGAAATTTTATATGTGATTTTAGAAGCAAAATAGTGTCTTTAAAAATATTTAGTTCGATTGACTAGTATGGGAGTTTTCCATGTTAGATTTGTTTACTTGCTGTATCGAACAATAAAGATATAAATTAGATATCAAAGTAATAAATTAAGGAATTAGGCAGATTTCTTCTGAGTTTACCAAGGTTATGGATATCTTTAAATCTTTTAGACATTCCAAATTTTATTGCTTTTTAACAATAGAAAAAACTCTGAATCTCGACAGACACAAAAGAATTCGAAATCTTTTTATCGAATTCTTATCTAGAGCCAATATCGACAATCGCTTACTATCGAAGAAGATTTTCTTGTTTCTTTCTTTTTTCGAGCTTTTGTCTTCTCCAAGTGTCGTGTCATGTGTGCCAGACTGTGCCAGTTATTTTCTGCCATTCTGTTAACATTAATCATCGGGAAATCATTCAATCTACTTCGGTCAGAAGTATACATTAAATATGATATTGTATCTGTTGCCATATGATGCTCATGAATAATAATAAAAATGTGAGAGGCTGATTTATTCTTAAATAGTGAGAATTAAGAGGTTTCCTTTCAATGAGTATTAACAAATTAATTAATGTTGATTGGTTGGTTTTACTTAATTAAAATTCAAAGTGCATTGAAGTTATATTTTTCTTACTCAACTTATTAAAA